CTATTCGGGGCCTTTTGTGGTTCCATATGAATTTTAGGATTGCTTGTTCTAGTTTCGAGAAGAATGCTGGTGCAATTTTGATTGGGATTGCATTGAATGTGTAGATAGCTTTGGGTAGTATTGACATTTTAACAATATTTATTCTTTCAATCCATGAGCACAGAATGTTTTTCCACTTCTTTATATCCTCTTCAATTTCCTTCATAAGCTTTCTATAGTTTTCAGCATACAGATCTTTTACATCTTTGGTTAGGTTTATTCCTAGGTATTTTATGCTTCTTGGTGCAATTGTGAATGGGATCGGTTTCTTTATTTTTCTTTCTGTTGCTTCATTATTGGTTTATAAAAATGCAACTGATTTCTGTACATTAATTTTGTATCCTGCGACTTTGCTGAATTCATGTATCAGTTCTAGCAGACTTTTGGTGGAGTCTGTTGGGTTTTCCATGTAGAGTATCATGTCATCTGCAAAAAGTGAAAGTTTGACTTTATCTTTGCCAGTTTTGATGCCTTTGATTTCCTTTTGTTGTCTGATTGCTGATGCTAGAACTTCCAACACTATGTTAAACAACAGCGATGAGAGTGGACATCCTTGTCATGTTCCTGATCTCAGGGGGATAACTTCAGTTTTTCCCCATTCAGGATGATATTAGCTATGGGCTTTTCATAGCTTCTATGATGTTTAAGTATGTTCCCTCTATCCCAACTTTCTTGAAGGTTTTTTTATTAAGAAAGGATGCTGTATTTTGTCAAATGCTTTTTCCACATCGATTGACAGGATCACATGGTTCTTATCTTTTCTTTTATTAACGTGATGTATCACACTGATTGATTTGCGAATATTGAACCAGCCCTGCAGCCCAGGAATGAATCCCACTTGATCATGGTGAATAATTCTTTTTATATGCTGTTGAATTCAATTTGCTAGTATCTTATTGAGAATTTTTGCATCCATATTCATCAGGGATATTAGCCTGTAGTTCTTTTTTTTTTGCTGGGTCTCTGTCTAGTTTGGAAATCAAAGTAATACTGGCTTCATAGAATGAGTCTGGAAGTTTTCCTTCCCTTTCTATCCTTTGCAACAGCTTGAGAAGGATTGGTGTTATTTCTGCTTTAAATGTCTGGCAGAATTCCCCAGGGAAGCCATCTGGTCCAGGACTCTTATTTGTTGGGAGATTTTTGATAATTCAATTTCTTCACTAGTTATGGGCCTGTTCAAAATTTCTATTTCTTCCCATTTGAGTTTTGGAAGTGTGTGGGTGTTTGGGAATTTGTCCATTTCTTCCAGGTTATCCAGTTTTTTGGCATGTAATTTTTCATAGTATTCACTGATAATTGCTTGTATTTCTGAGGGATTGGTTGTAAGAATTCCATTTTCATTGATGATTTTATCTATTTGGGTCACCTCCCTTTTCTTTTTGAAGAAGCCTGGCAAGAGGCTTATCAATTTTGTTTATTTTTTCAAAAAACCAACTCTTGGCTTCCTTGGTCTCCTCTACTGTTTTTTGTTTTTTTGTGTTTTTTTTTGCCATTCTTGGATTCTACACTGTTTATTTCTGCTCTGATCCTTATTATTTCTCTTCTTCTGCTGGGTTTGGGGTGTCTTTGCTGTTCTGCCTCGATTTCCTTTAGGTGTGCTGTTAGAGTTTGTATTTGGGATTTTCTTGTTTCTTGAGATAGGCCTGGATTGCAATGTATTTTCCTCTCAGGACTGCCTTCACTGCATCCCAAAGCATTTGGTGTTGTATTTTCATTTTCATTTGTTTCCATATTTTAAAAAATTTTTTCTCTAATTGCCTGGTTGACCCATTTATTCTTTAGTAGGACGTTTTTTTAAACTCCATGGTTTTTGGAGGTTTTCCAGACTTTTCCTGTGGTTGATTTCAAACTTCATAGCATTGTGGTCTGAAAGTGTGCATGGTATGATCTCAATTCTTTTATACTTATGAAGGGCTATTTTGTGACCCAGTATGTAATCTATCTTGGAGAATGTTCCATGCACACTCAAGAAAATATATTTTGTTGTTTTGGGATGCAGAGTTCTAAACACATCTGTCAAGTCCATTGGTCCAATGTATCATTCAGGGCCCTTGTTTCTTTATGGATTCTCTGTCTAGATGATCTATCCATTGTTGTAAGTGGAGTATTAAAGTCCCCTGCAATTACCACATTCTAATCAATAAGGTTGCTTATGTTTGTGATTAATTGTTTTATATATTTGGGGGCTCCCGTATTCGGTGTATAGACATTTATAATCGTTAGCTCTTCCTGATGGATAGACCCTGTGATGATTATATAATACCCTTCTTCATCTCTTGTTACAGCCTTTAATTTAAAGTCTAGTGTGTCTGATATAATTATGGTTACTCCAGCTTTCTTTTGACTTCCAGTAGCATGATAGATAGTTCCCTCCATCCCCTCACATTCAATCTGAAGGTGTCCTCAGGTCTAAAATGAGTCTCTTGTAGACAGCAAATAGATGGGTCTTGTTTTTTTTTTTTTTTTTCTCGTTCTGATACCCTATGTCTTTAGATTGGAGCATTTAGTCCATTTACATTCAGTGTTATTATTGAAAAATATGGGTTTAGAGTCATTGTGATATCTGTAGGTTTCATGCTTGTTAGTGATGTCTTTGGTACTTTGTGATCCTTGCAACATTAAACTCACAGAGTCCCCCTTAGGATCTCTTGTAGGGCTGGTTTAGTGATGATGAATTCCTGCAGTTTTTGTTTGTTTGGAAAAACTTTTATCTCTCTATTCTGAAAGACAGACTTGCTGAATAAAGGATTCTTGGCTGCATATTTTTCCTGTTCATCACATGAAGATTGTTAAGGTCCATTTATCCCTAGCTGGTTTCAGAATTCTCTCTTTATTCTTGTATTTTGCCAGTTTCACTATGATATGAAGATCAATTCAAGTGACATCTGAAGGGAGTTCTATGTGCCTCTTGGATTTCAATGCCTGTTTCCTTCCCCAGATCAGGGAAATTCTCAGCTATGATTTGTTCAAGTACACCTTCAGCCTCTTTCTCTCTGTCTTATTTTTCTGGAATTCCTATGATATGGATATTGTTCTGTTGATTGCGTCACTTAGTTCTCCAATTCTCCCTTCATACTCCTGGATTTTTTTTGTCTCTCTTTTTCTCAGCTTCCTCTTTTTCCATAATTTTATCTTTTAATTCACCTATTCTCCCCTCTGCCTTTTCAATCCATGCTGTGGTTGCCTCCATCTTATTTTTCACTTCATTTATAGCATATTTTTAGTTCATCATGACTATTTTTTTAGTCCCTTGATCTCTGTAGCAATATATTCTCTGCTGTCCTCTATGCTTTTTTTCAAGCCTAGCAATTAATTTTATGACTATTATTCTAAATTCTTGTTCAGTTATGTTGCTTAAATCATTTTTGATCAAATCGTTAGCTGTCTCTCCTTCCTGGAATTTCTTTTGAGGAGAATTCTTCCGTTTAGTCATTTTGGTTAGTTTTCTGTCCCTTGTGCATTTTAAAAACTTGTGTGCTCTGTACCTGCAAACACTGCTATATTATAGGATGGTCATACACTATCCAAGGCCTGGCCCTTCAGGAGGTGTTTTCTTTGGAGATTGTTACTTGCTCTCTTTTTGTGACTTTGGTTATTTTATTACCCTACTCATAGTGATATTTTGGACCCTCCACCAAGTGTGCTTTGATTTGTTTCTTGGAGTAGCCCTTTTCTCCATTTTTCCCATTTTCGTCCAGTTAGATTCAGTCTCTTTTCCTCCAAGGCTCTGGGGTTAAAAGTCCTTTGGCTTCTGCACTTCTTTCTTTGAAAGATGTGGGAAGTATGGGTCCCCCTACTTCTCCACCATGTTGGTCCTGGTTTTTTTGTTCTTTAGAGGGAACTCTACAGTTGTAGAAGCACCTCCACATTTCATTGCCTTCAGCCACTCCCCGGAATTATTTACATTGGTTCCCAGTCATCTTTGGTGCAACTCTGGAGTCTTGAGTATTTCTACAGTTATTCAACATCCTGATTCAGTCACAGAGGCCGTGAGGCAGTGCTGTATCTCTGCCTTTCATCCACAGTCTTCCTTATGAGGCTTGCTTGGTGGTCACAAGACAAATAGATCTCTGCACTGGCCACCAAAATCTAAGTTTATGTGGAAGCCTTCATTGCATTCAGACATGTATACATGCAATCAGTCTTAACACCTTACTCTCTCCAACTATGTCCCTGAAACAGCACCCACCTGTTATATTGTACACTTGAAAGTAATGTAACACTATATGTTGATTATACTTAAGTAAAAAAAGGAAATTAAATAAAAAGGGAACAAAAAAACTTTTAAATAAAAGTAAGCACCAGTAATGGCAATAATTTTTTTATCAAATCATTTTTAACAGTTCTTTCTTTTTACTGTAATTTTTAATTTTTTTTTACATTTTATTTTTGATAGAGACAGAGCATAAGTGGGGGAGGGGCAGAGAGAGAGGGAGACACAGAATCCGAAGCAGGCTCCAGGCTCCAAGCTGCCAGCACAGAGCCCAAAGCGGGGTTTGAACTCACAAACTGCTAGATCATGACCTGAGCTGAAGTCAGACGCTTAACCAACTGAGCAGCCCAGGCACCCTTACTCTAATTTTTAAATTTAAAAATTTAGTAGATATTAATATCAGTTTAATATGTTTTAAGTAGCAGTTCATAAAAGGGAATATAATAGAAAAATATGTTCAAATACAACACATAAAGATTAAAAATATACCTAAAGATTAAATACAAGTTTATATTAATATTGAGCTTCTAAAAATATATAACCACTTCGGGGCATAGTCACAGAATACTGGAAAACATTTTTATTTTTTTAATATTTTAAAAATGTTTTTAGTTTTTAAAACATTTTAAAATATATATTGTTTATTCTATGACTGTATTATTTGAATCCAAAATTTTTATAATTGAAATTACTAATAAACTTTGAGTTTCAGTTTTGAAAATGTTAAAATATATTCTCGTGTTTTCAGAGAAAGGTCAAAACATACCTGCAAAACGACATGCTGCTCCTGAAAAAAATGGCCTCTTAATCAGTTTCTACATTTTTCTATCTTTCCTTATTTTAATTGCCATTATTGCTCTTAAATGGAATAAAATAAGATTTTGGAACAGAGTGGAAACAGTAAGTGGAGAGTAAGTAAATCTATTATTTTTAAAAATTAATATTAAAATCCATTTGGGGAATAACTAAAATGTAACTCAGAATACAATAAGTAGGCCTTAAAAATGTTGAATTTGGATCTTGGATGAATTTGGTTAGGATTTATAAATATTGAGGCTTGTTATATACCACAGTTTTTCAGATTTCAAGTAGTCATTCCTTTTCTTATAAGTCCAGAAATAACCAAAGGTACTTAGTAAATTCACAGTGCCTCTCAAATTGAAAGCCATGTTTGCTACACATGCTTGTCTACTACGTAAGCAATCTCCTTTTGTTTGTTTTTTTGGCATTGACATTCAGTTGTGTCAAGGAAATTAATAGAGTTAGAGACTAATAGAGCGGTAACGAAAGCCATGTTTGCTATACTTGCTTGTCTACTACCTAACCAATCTCATTTTTTTCCTTTTTTTTTTTTTGACATTGACATTCACTTGTGCCAAGGAGATTAATAGAGATAGAGAAGGAAATTTTGTGAATTAAAGAGGTAGAAGGTGAGAAAAATGTTTAAAAAACATGATAGGAAAAGGAGAATACAGATGACAATGCCCATTTTACACTTATTTAATATTGCTCATCTGTTTCTAAAATTAGAACTCAGTTACTTGAAATGGACACCAAAATAAATCTAGTTAATATCTGTCACCATACATGGTTACAGAATGTTATTTTCTTGTGATGAAGACTTAAGATCTATTGTCTTGGCAAGTTTCAAATATGCAATACTTTATTATTACCACCATGTTATACCTTATACATTCATGATTTATTTTATAACTAGGAAGTTTCTACCTTTTCCCTCCCTCACTCATTTACTTATCCCACAACCCCAACTTTGGTAATCACCAATTTGTTCTGATTATCTATGGGTTTGCTTTTGTTTTGTTATGTTTTTTTTTAATTTGATTCCACACGTAAGTGAGATAGTATGGTAGTTGTTTTTCTCTAACTTATTTCACTTACACACAGATTTTTTTCTTTACCATATCACCAACACAAGTCACAGTTTTGCTCCATGGATATTCAGGAAAAAGAATGCAGAAGTAAAGATAAATGCGTCTCATTATTCTATGTGGACGGAAAATGTCTCTGTTTCTCACTAGTGAAAATAAAGATAAAATAATGATATAAAGTTTCCATCAAAACCCTCTTAAGATAGTGGATTTATAGGAAACATACCTCAACATAGACCATATATGAAAAACCCACACCTAATATCATACTCAAAGATGAAACTTTGAGAACTTTTCCTCTAAGCTTAGCAACAAGGCATCCACTTTTGCCACTTTTGTCAACATAGTACTGGAAGTCCTAGCCATAACAATTAGACAACAGCAACAAAAAAGTTTTTAATCCAAATTAGTAAGGAAAAAGTAAAATTGTCACTCTTTGCAAATGACAGGGTACCATATATGGAAAGGCCGAAAGACTAAACCAAAAAATTGTTATAACTAATAAATGAATTCAGCAAAGTTGAAGTATACAAAATTAATATACACAAATCAGTTGTGATTACATACAATAATAATGAAGTAGCAGAAAGAGAAATTAAGGAAATAACTCCATATGCAATTGGAACAAAAAGAATAAAATACCTAGGAATAAACTTAACCAAAGAAGTGAAAGAACTTTACTCTGAAAACTAAAAGACATTGATGAAATAAATTGAAAATAACACAAATGGAAAGATATTTTGTGTACATGGATTGGAAGAATTAATATTGTTAAAATATCCATACTACCCAAAGCTGACTACAGGTTAAATACAACCCCAGTCAGATTACCAGTGGCATTTTTTACAGAACTAGAACAAACACTAAAATTTTTATAGGACCACCCAAGACCACAAATAGTCAAATCAATCTTGAGAAAGAAGAACAATGCTAGAGGTATCACGATCCCAGATTTCAAGATATACTACAAAGCTGTAGTAATCAAAACAGTATGGTGTTATCACAAAAATAGACACATCAATCAATGGAACAAAATGAAGAGCACAGAAATAAACCCATAATTATATGGACAATTAATCTGCAACCAAGGATTCTCTTAGAATATGCAATGAGAAAAAGTATCTGCAACAAATGGTGCTGGAGAAACTGGACAGCTACATGTAAAAGAATAAAACCAGACCACTTTCTTATACAATGCACAAAAAACAAAATGGATTAAAGACCTAAATATGAGACCTGAAACCATAAAAATCCTACAAGAAAACATAGGCAGTAATTTCTTTGACATTGATCGTAGTAACATTTTTCTAGATATGTCTCCTCAGACAAAGGAAATAAAAGCAAGAATAAACTATTGAGACTACACCAAAATAAGCTTATGCACAGTGACAGAAACCATCAAGAAAACAAAAAAGCAACCTATTGAACGGGAGAAGACATTTCTAAATGATATATTAGATAAGTGATTAATATCTAAAATACATAAAGAATTTATACAATTGAATACCAAAAAACACCGCAAATAATCTGGTTAAAATAAGGGCAGAGAACCTGAATAGATATTTTTCCAAAGAAAATATACGGATAGTAAACAGACAAATGAAAAGATGTTCAACATCACTAATCATTAGGGAAATGTAAATCAAAACCACAATGAGATATGGCCTTACACCTGTCATAATGGCTAGAATCAAAACAAAACCAAACAAAACAAAAAAACAGGAAATGACAAGTGTTGGCAAATATGTAGAGAAAGAAAAAAACAAACCTTGTGCACTCTTGGTGGGAATGTAAATAGGTGCAGGTATTGTGGAAAACAGTAAAACTAAAAAGAAAATACCTAGAAGATATTACACTAAATGAAATAAGTCAGACTGAGAAGACAAATTTCATGAGTCCACTTATAAGTGGAAAAAATAATGAATAAACAAACAGAAAGCAGAATCAGACCTATAAATACAAAGAACAAATTAATGGTTGCCAGAGGGGAGTGGAGTTGAAGGGTTGGAGAAAATGGGAAAATGGGAGAGAAGATGTAGACTTTTACTAATGGCATGAATAAGTCATGGTAATAAAAGACACAGCATAGAAAATATAGTCACTGACATTGTAATAGTGCTGTACTAGGACAGATGGTAGGTGCATTTGTGGTGAACATAGCATAATGTATACACTTGTCAAGTCACTAAGTTGTACACCTAAAATTAATGTAACGTTGTGTGTCAACTATACTCCAAAAGAGAGAAAAACATAAAATCACAATGGTTTCTAACCCTAATTAATGCTATTTCTTTTTCACAGATCTATATCAGAAGACAACAATCGTAACAGCAACCAGTCATCAAGTTAAAGGTAAATTGAAGGAATAAAATTGAAAATGATATAATTCATAAAATAGTTTTAAAAATTTAATACCTCAGTGTAAAAAAACTATTATTCCATATTCCTTCATCGTGATTGCTATTTATCAATATCATATACTAAAAAAAAGACTAAAAACATTTAATAATTTTGTTTTTTGTTTTTTTTTGTTTTTTTTTGTTTTTAACATTTATTTATTTTTGAGACAGAGAGAGACAGAGCATGAACAGGGGAGGGGCAAAGAGAGAGGGAGTCACAGAATCTGAAACAGGCTCCAGGCTTTGAGCTGTCAGCACAGAGCCCGACACGGGGCTCGAACTCACAGACCGTGAGATCATGACCTGAGCCAAAGTCGGACGCTCAACCGACCAAGCCACCCAGGCGCCCCAATAATTTTGTTTTATATTAACTTATAAATATTTAATGTTAACTAATATTAGCCAGAGATTTATCAAGCAACATTTTGGTAATAAGAAATGACTTTAAAGAGATTTTAAATATGTTCTTAAAATATTTATAAGCCATCATGCATCCTGCTCCCACATTTAAGGTTCTAATTTGATAGATTTACACAGATTGACTCCCAGCATTTATATTTTTTCCTCACTAAGCCTCCACAGTTATTGTTAGCCTTATTTTAGAAATGAGGAAACAAACATGAAAAATTTAAATAATTATCCATGTGTACAGAATTTTAGTAAATTTTGAAGCTGGAGTTTCATTCAAGACAACCAGAATCCAAGGATTAACTCTTAAAGAACTCAACATCTGGGGACATCTGGGTGGCTTAGTCAATTAAATGTCCAACTCTTGATTTCAGCTCAGGTCATGATCTCATGGTCGTGAGATTGAGCCCTACTTCAGGCTCTGGTCTGGGAGTAGAGTCTGCTTGAGATTTTCTTTCTCCTCCCTCTTCCCCTCCTTTGCTTGTGCATTCTCTCACTCTCAAAAAAATCCCCCAAAACGAAACAAAAGCACAGCAACAACACACACACACACACACACACACACACACACACAAAATTTTGACACATGTAGCATGAGGTATGCCTGGTGAAGGGAAATGAAATTTACATTTACTGAGGACCAATTAGATGTCAAGCAAAATGATAAATGCATTGTCCCTCCAGAGAAGAGAGACAAATTCTTTACTATGAGAAGGGGTAACATTGGCATTTGTATAGATTCAATATATCTATCTGTATATTTTCTGTATGTGTACATACATATATATATATATATACAGATGTAACTGAATATATCTGACATATCTGAATATGTATGTATATATTCAAATGTATAAGTCATATACATAAAGAAATCATAATATTTTACATTTTAGACCTATCACTGGGAGTAAATGGAAGAATTAAAAATTCAACCATGAATGAAAACAAGAGTTCATCCAATTACTAATCAGCCATTCCTCCTTATCTGACCTTGATGGAGAGTTAAGTCAATGGATCTCTGTTTCCCTATCTGCCACCAAAACAAACAAAACACTAACTACTATCCTCCATGTAAAATATTCTTATTTCTCAGTAGGGAGAGTTGGGAGAGTTGGTGGTGAGGGAGGAGGTGGATATTGGTTTCAAATATAATTGAATGAGTGGGCCCTATTCAGCAAGAGATGTGTAAACAAAGTTTTGGAGGAAGTTGCAAGTATTGACTCAGTTTATTTATTTAAAAGGAGGTACTTGAATTCCCAGGTTCAGTTCACATGGGACTTTTATTTAAATGTAAAGGATACAGTGCAAGAGAGAGTGTGGGCAAAAATGGGCACCGGAGAGATATCTCATGCACAAGGCCTCAAGGTTCCTTTACATTTTAAACAGTCCATTATAAATTCCACTGCCAATGTCTTGGCAAAAAGTGAAACCAAGCATCCAGGCTTTCCTAGAGATAAAGATAGAGCTTTTCCATTCCGGCTGTAAATCAACTCCTTACAGAGGCATAGAGTTGGCAGAGGTCGCCATGCATATATCTAGGCAGGAGTTTTCCAAGCATGTGAATGATCCAATGAAAAAATAAGTCAGAAATGTTGGATGATTAACAGTGATGTCAGTTTAGCTGGAGCAGAGTTACCAAGGGGACTGTGGTCGTGAGTAGGTCAGACAGTAAAACTCTTTTAGGCTGTGGGAAGTGTTGAGGGCTGTGTTTTATTCTGAGAGGAAATCACTGGAAGATTAATGTTCAAGACTTCCACTGTAAAAGGCTGGTTTGTTAAAATAAATAAATTAAAAAAAGAGTGATTTGTTGAAAATAGTTTGTATGATGGCAAGAGGAGAAGTGGAGAAACCAGTTGGTGGAGAAACTACTGTAATAATCCAGGAGGGAAAGGTTGGTACCTCAGACCAGGGGTAGTAAAGGTTTTAGGAATAAATTTTGAAGGATACCAACAGAATGAACTGGCAGCTTCAATATAAAGTGTAAGAAAATGTGCTTAAATAACGTTTATTGATAAAGCAGCAAGATAAGCAAGGTTAAATGTAAACACAGACCTGTTTTCAAATGTATGCTTTTATTACATTTTAAATTTATATTAAAATTTATGAATGTTGCAAGAGAAAATCTACATGGATAATTGTGAACCAAGACAAATGTTTGGCATGCCATGATGAGGAGCATGTTTTCTCACACACGAGAAAGTATTTCTCATATAAAGTATTTTTGAAGTAGTAAGGGAGGGATTCAGCATGATATGGTTGGCTTTTTTACATATTTAGGGAAAAAGTCAGACTCAGTAAGAACTGGAGGCTAGTGAATCAACTCCAACTGTATGTGTATGGGTCACCTGTTGGAAAGGCACAGAGGATTTCTTGAAATACTCTTCCTCTGAAGATAAAAATAGACAAATTAGTAGTTACTTATTTCTTCACATATTCTACTGTTCTTTTCCTCTCTGTTTCCTTGCTGGTGACTTTCTTTTATCCATGTGAAGTGTAGAAACTGTGTAAATATAATGCTTGTGAATATGACTTTTAATATTTCCTTTTACTGTGGCTATCACAGACAACTTAGGAAAAAAAACAGGTTTACACATTTTGTGAAACACAGGTCTAGATTGTGACACTATAATCAGTGTCTCATATACCAATGATTTGCTATACCTCTAGTTGTCTAGTAAAATGAGATCACTTTTATTAACAATTAAAATTTAGCATATCTCTTTCTGTATTTGTTTTACAACAGTGACTAAACAATGTCAAAAAGCCATAGGTTGGAAAAAGGATATTACCAAGATGCTAACCATTAATTGACCTGATTCAAGAATGAAAAAAAAAAAAAAACCTATTCTCTCTTTTTGTTATGGCTTAAAGCTTTTCAACTTCACAAACAAAAATAAATCCTGAGAGTGAAAGTATGTAGTTTTGTGTCTATTGATTCTTCTACATGTTGTGATCCTTTATGGGAAAATAAGCAACTTTTGAACCAGAGAAGTTGTCACATCCCCAGATGTGAACATTCCTTATTCACTGAGGACACCCCACAGCCCACACCTCTCCCAACTGCCCGTGATTCCCTGCTCTATCCCTTCCAGGCTTAGGGATATTGAGAGGAAATGTTGCCAGGTAAGGCCAGCCCCAGAATGAACCCCCAGATAGACACTAACATCCATTCCATCTCCAGGGAATTGCTCCAGCTGTGTTTCTGATCATAGATAACTGTTGTGTCTCCAGGTGAGAATTCTGTGGCCTCATGTAACTTGGGATCTAGGATATATTATTGTCCTTTGGGGAAGATAGACTTGCTCCTCCTCTTTTGCTGGGGATGAGCTTTACTGGGTAATATTTTCTTGCTTCAGGATCCCCCTCCCCATCTCCCTCTTACTAAGATGAGTGCACTTCTCAAAGTGCACCTCAAAGTGTTGTACGTGGATAAGGGAGCCATCAACCTAGCTGGAATCTAATGAGAACCTACAGAGTCTCCCTCAATAAACAAGGATGCTCCTGGTTCAGGGTTGGGGGTACCTCACCACAGAGGCTAAGAGATTCCTTTTCCAAATGTCCATCAACTGATGAATGGATAAACATTGTATGAATAGTGATCTATGCATGCAATGGAATATTATCCAGCCATAAAAAGGAACAAAACACTGATACCTCTACAACATGAACGAACCTTTGAAACCATTCTGCTAAGTAAGTAAAACTAATCACAAAACCCATATGTTATTCATTTGTATGAAATATCCAGAATGGGGACATCTATAGCGACAAAGGGTGGTGGTTATTTTCGGCTGGGTTAAGTGGGGATGAAAAGCTGGGGTGAGGGGTGGGGTGATAGCTAAAGGGTACAGGGTTCCTTTTGAGATGATGCAATTAAAATAGACTGTGGTGATGGCTTCACATATCTGTGAATATATGGAAAATACTAAACACATTCAGTTGTATAATTTAGTGGTCACTTGTGTGGCAAAAAAAAATATATCAGGATGATTCTACCATAACTTTACCACATCCTTATTGTGACTTGTTTTGGGTCATTATAATTACTGGCCTGCCTTATTTTAATAATTTATGAGGATCCCATGTACACTACCACTTAGCAGATCCAAGTTTTAAGCCTGACTGGACTTTAACATTGCAACTATTGGCACAATTCATCCTTGTAATAGGGTGTAGTGGGATAAAAGAAAGTATAGGAGAGAGGTGGGTGGAGGTCAGTTGGGTCTTGGACATGTGTGATTTAAGATTTCTCTTAGAATATTTAAAGAAAATTGCATGCTCTTTTCCAGCCAAGACACATTTCCTGTTTGCCTTGCTGCCCCTCCGTCCCCCACCTCTGCAGTTTCCCTGCAAGTGCTTAGAGTAACTGTTAACAAAACACTTGGGTCGCATTAAATTTTTTTAAAATTTACATTTATTTATTTTTGATAGACAGAGAGAGAGAGGGCACAAGTGGGGGAAAGGCAGAGATGGAAGGAGACAGAGAACCCAAAGCAAGCTCCAGGCTCCAAGCTGTCAGCACAGACCCTGACGCGGGACTCAAACCCACAAACCGCAAGATCATGACCTGAGCCAAAGTTGGACGCCCAAACGACTGAGCCACCCAGGCACCCCTTGGGTTGCATTTTAAAGTTTCCTTTCCCTTTCTTCAACTGATTACAATCTAATTACTGTAAGGATAGGCACACAGTTGATGAAAAGTGCTTTTTGATTGCCTTATCAAAGATCAAATACAATATTCTTGATTTTTCCTTATTTGCAGAGATACTAAATTAAGTCGGCAGTAGTACGATTTAAGTAGAAAATTTCTTATAAAAAATGTTTTTTTCCTTTTTTCTCCACCAGAGCAAATAAAACATGCCAGAAAAACATGACACGTAGAATAGTAATTACCAAGAACTTCAACAGAAAAGCAAATCATACTCATTTACCCCTATGTCACTACTGAAGAGTTTAATCAATGACAACTTAACCAGAACAAATAAGTTGTGTGCAAAGGCATAAGCTTGTGTCTGTTGCCTTCTCTCCCTCCACGTATGGCAGCTGACAAGCTACCTGGGAGCCCTAAGGGTGGGCCAGCATGAGTTGAAAACAATGCAGTCTTTACTCAAAGAGACAAGGACAGTGTGGTGGACACCTGAGTACTACTGCCCACAAACCTCAAAGCTGCCCAATGGACCTCAGCCCTGGCCATGCTGGGTGCACTATGGCCCAGCCTACTTCTTTCTCTTTTTACTGCTCTATGAGCTTGGAACACTTCACACCTGCCTGGGTAAGAGGACTCCTCCCTCAATATCTTCTTTTTGTCTCCAAGCAGGACCAGGATCTTCCTGGAGAGCAATTTCCTGTAACTCCGTGATCCCTATCTGTCCCCTCCTAAATCTTCAGCTGGTTCCTTCCTCTGTGTCACCCTAACCGCAAGGCCAGGGCTGAGGATGTTAGCCAAGGTATCAACTCTTTGAATCAAGGGTCAAGGGTCTGAGGATTGCTGGAAAGAGGGCAGAATGGGATGACTCTAGCCTCACCTTATCCCACAGATACAAGTAGATAATACTAACATCAGTGTAAAGAACTCAGAAATAACTAAGATGTACAGAGCCAATGTCACAACTAAATGAAGAGAAGAGACTGCGATGAAGAGTGCAGGAAGGGTGTAGATGTTGTGGGTAGCTAAATGGACCTACAGGACTGTCAATAGGAAGGAGGAGCCTGCAGGCATGGAGAGGAGAGAGAAGCAGACTCTTGCACTGGGGAGCCCTCACGGACAAGATGAATCCCCATGACATTTGGCTTTGAAACCAGACGGGCTGATTTTCATCAGTTCTTACAACCAGTAGGACTTAAAGCCTGGAGTTTTAAAAATCAGCAGGATCAGCTCTGGGAAAGCCAGGAGGTGAGGGGAAATTGAGTCCCTCGCCTTAAAGAGAGAGCACAAAAATTAGCCCTGCAGAGATACAGCATAGAAACAGCAGTGTGAAAAACACATGGGGCACACAGGAAAGAGAACTTTTTGCTAATCTAAGAGCATGTATTTCAAGGGCACAGATTTTTAGGAGACTCCTCTAGGAACTAAGAAGCTGGCAAGCTCCATTTCCCTGCCCCATGACCCAGCAAAAACACAGGGCCACTAGCTGAAACCAGTGTAGCACTGACACTAACTAGCTAACTTGCTACCACTGCATGTCTCACCCCTCTGCAATTTGGTGAATCCATCCCATCAAATATGCTCTTGCCCAGAGTTCATCCAAGGCCGTGCTACAAGCCTGGCAATTAGCAAGCAGCCCTGACACAGGTCAGCATTACTCCAAAGTGACACCTTTCCCAAGTAAGGGAAAGATAACCGCACACTCCAGTAGCCTCAGGAGTGGGATGGGGACAGACACCTGGTCTGACTGCTGGCTCCACCCACCAATGAAAGCTTTTCAGGGGACAACACAGGGAAAGTGCCCTGAAGTTTGGTGCTACTGCATCTCTGACAAATGCCTGTTCTAACTCAAATCAAGCCTAAGGCAGCCCCAGATTGGCTCACTAACACCATAGAGACCAAAGATTGCCCACAACAGGCAAAGAGAGACACTGCAGATGACTGGACTGAAGGGAGATGCAGTCCAATCATGATAGCAGGGTACATACAACACACATAGGAGACACTCCTGAAGCACTTGGTTCTAGTGAACAGAGGACATTACACTGCAGGGCACCACAGGATCCCTTCTTCATAGGATCACTGTGTTCAAGAGCAGGAGATGTTTTCAACTTTTCCTAATGCAGAGAAACAGACACAGAGAGTTATAAAAAAATGAGGAGACAGAGGAATGTGTCCAAAATCGGAAAAAAAATAGAACAAAATCATAGCAAGACCTAAGGATAACAGAAATAAGCAATATGCCTGATTGAGAATTTAAAGCAATGATCATAAAGATACTCATTGGACTTGAGAAAAAAGTGGAAGACAACTTTGAGACCCTTAAAAAAAGATTTAAAAAAGCCAATTAGAGATGAAGAATAAATAAATGAAATTAAAATTATACTAGATGGAATAAAGAGTAGACTAGAAATAGCAGAAAAGTGAATCAGTGACCTAGAGGACAGAGCAATGGAAAGCAACCAAGCCAAGTAGGTAAGAGGAAAAAAACTACCCAGAAAGACTTAGGGAATTCAGTAACTCTATCAAGTATAATAACGTTCACATTATAGCAATCCCAGGAGGAGAAGAAAGAGAGAAGGGGACAGAAAACGTATTTGAACAAATAATAACTGAAAACTGTCTGAATCTGGGGACGGAAACAGAAATCTAGATCCAAAAGGCACAGAGATAATCCAAAAAAATCAACCCAAGGAGGTCCACACCAAAACACATAGTAATTTGAAAAATAGCGATAAAGAGAGAATTTTGAAAGCAGCAATATAAAAGAAGACAGTTACATACAAGGGAAACCCCATATGGCTATTAGCTGAGTTTTCAGCACTTTTCTGTGTTATATTCAAAGTCCTGAAAGGAAAAAAATCTGCAGCCAAGAATACTCTATCCAACAAGGCTATCATTCAGAATAGAAGGAGAGACCAAGAGTTTCTCAAACAAATATTAAAAGAATTTATGACCACCAAAAGACTCCTTCAAGAAATGTTAAAGAGGGCTCTTTGAGTGGAAAGGAAAGACCATAAGTAGGAGTAAGGAAAGTAGAAAGCACAAAAGCAATGAAAATATGTATATCTTTAAAAGTCAAGGGATTCACAAAATAAAAGAATGTAAAGTATGACACCATATACCTTAAATGTGGGGAAAGAGGAAAGAATGGGTTCAAACTTAAGTGACTATCAACTTAATATACACTGCTATATGCGGAAGGTGTTATATACAAGCCTAATGGTAAAGATAAATGAAAAATCAGTAATGACAGTAATTCCATTACAA